ACTAGAAGATATTTAGGGGGCCGTGTTTAAGTCATCAAGTGTTGATCATAAGTCAGACATTACAAGAAGATTCAACTGTGAACAAGACAGACGTCATCCTTTCCCTTGTGGAGTTTCCCATCTAGTAGTGGAAATGAACCTTAAACAACAAAACGCACGAATATGTCATTGTGAGTTGGATTGTGTGCTCGAAGGAAAAGCACAGGGAGGCAGTGAAACAATGGGGCAGTGGAAGGCGGTGCCCCTTTAGATGAGAAGGCCTCCACTGCAGCTGGAACTAACCATGCGCAAAGTGAAGGGGAAGTGTATTCTAGGCAGAAAGAATAGCTGGCAAAACATGTTGAAAAGGAGCAGTTCAAAATCCTTGAAGCAGGAGAAAATTGGGTGAGTTGGAGAAAGAGCAAAACCAGTGTGGCTGACGTAGTGAGTCAGGGGTCCCGGATGGTCAGTGCAGGCCTTGCAGGCGGTGTTAAGCACTTGGAAATTATTTGTAGTGCAACAGTAAGTCATTGAAAGGTTTAAAGTGAGAGAATGCTAGGATGTGACTTATATGTTTAAAAGATCTGGAGAACCAATTGGAGGAAGATAAGCATGCAACAGGGAGATCAGTCGGGAGGCCACTGAAGAGGTCCAGGTGTGGGATGATGATGGTTGCTTGCTTAAGGATGGAAGGATGATGAAAGGGTCCAATTCAGAATATATTTTGAAGATAGTGCTGATGGGACTTGCTGATGGATTGGACATAAGGGGTGGATGAGAGGGAGATTTCTGGTTTACACACTTGGTTGAGTGGAGGTGCAGTTACACAGATGAAAAAAACTAAAGGCGGGGCAGATTAGGGGGAGGCTGATCAGAAGGTTAGTTTGGACATGTTGCTTAGGAGACATCCAAGTGGAGGGCCCAAGCAGGTAGTTGGGGAGCTCAGGAAGGTGTCTGAACTCAAGAGAGAGATTTGGACTCAAGTTTACTATGCAGCCCACTCTGGTCAGTCTTCCATCCTGTTTCTTCCCCATAAATGCCATTGGAAGAATCCTGTGAATCACTGTGACCTCCTGGTGGCCAGATCCAGTGGGTGATTTTCAATCTCGTCTTCCTCAGCCTTTCTGTAGCATTTGACACAGTTGGCCACACTGTCCTTGAAACACATCATGTTCCTTCTATGATACCACTCTTCTGGTTTTCTCTGTCTTTGTGGCTGCTTTGCCAGCTTCTCTACCTAGTTTAAATCAACAGTTTCCAAATTTTAATGAAAAAAAAATAGAACTCTTATGTATACATATTGTAATTTCATCCTTTTTAATTTCTATTTTTGTATATGTTTTATAAAGTGCATATCTGTAAAGTATATTGGAGATGTATACTTAACTTTTCTGAAGGTGTACATTCAGAAAAGTACAGACCATTTCTTTAGGTAATCTCATTCAGCCCCATATCTTTTGTTACAATCTGCATACTTTTCAACCCGGAATTTCTGTCTTCCACCCCAGCCCCGACTGAGCTCCGGATTCCTGGAGCAGCTGCCGTGTGGAAGAGTGGAGACCTGAAGGAGTTAAGTGATGAGGAGAGAGGGGGGCATGTTCCAGAACAAGGCAGGAGCTTTTGAGGCAGCCCTGAAGCAGGAGAGAGCCCAGTGTGTTGAAGACCTGAAAGAATTTCTGGTGGCTGGCTTGAAGAGCATGAGAAGGCCAGTAGTGAACAGTGCGGATGGTAGGGCCCAAATGGTGGAGGGCCTTATGCTGAGAGCTTGGACCCTCTTGAGGGGAATGGAGAGCCACTGAAATAGATCAGGGAGGAGGCATGATTGGAGGTGTATTAGTAGAGGATCACAGTATTTCTTCATTTAAAAATGAAAAAAATAAGGCCTCAGAGGGGACCTCAGAATGGCCCAGAGCGCCAGTGGCAGAGCCCACAGTGGATCCCCAGGCTCCCACCTCCCAGTCCAGCGCTCTTGCTGCATTTCCATCCTACATCTCAGGTAGTGTCTGGGGCACATGGAACCTCCAAGTGGAGGAGACTCCGGCATCCGGAACAGCCACCCTCCCTGTAATACGATCCCTAATGCCTTTGCTTTGGGCCAGACTCTTGGGGAACTAAGATAAATAAGGCCTGCTTGATAATTGGTCCCTATTATTACTGTACATTGTATCCGGTCTTCTCAAGAGTCCTGCAAGTTAGTGGGAAGTGAGGATAAGAGAGATGAAGTAACTTATTCTTTTTTTTATTTTTATTTTTTTATTTTTAAAGATTTTTTTTTTCTTTTTCTCCCCAAAGCCCCCTGGTACATAGTTGTATATTCTTAGTTGTGGGTCCTACTAGTTGTGGCATGTGGGATGCCGCCTTAGCGTGGCTTGATGAGCAGTGCCATGTCCGTGCCCAGGATTCGAACCAACGAAGCACTGGGTCGCCGCAGCGGAGCACGAGAACTTAACCACTCCGCCATGGGGCCAGCCCAAAGTAACTTATTCTATGTCATACAGCTAGGACCTGGGTAAGCTGGATTCAGTCTCTCTTCTATCCAATTCCCAGAGCTAAGTTTTTTCCTTCTTGTACATACCTGAGCTAACAACTGTTGCCAATGTTTTTTTTTTTTTCTGCTTTTTCTTCCCCAATCCCCACAGTACATAGTTGCATATTCTAGTTGTGGCTCCCTCTAGTTGTGGCACATGGGACGCCACCTCGACATGGCCTGACGAGTGGTACCATGTCCACGCCCACCATCCAAACCGGCGAAAACCTTGGCCGCCAAAGCAGAGTGTGCGAACTTAATCACTCAGCCACGGAGCCAGCCCCAAGACAGACCTTTTAAAAAATAATTTGATACAATTATTACAGTAATAATACTGTACAGTAATAATACTGAGTGTTACAAGTAGATACAGAGGTGGGTTTGTTTTGCCTTTGGGGACTGGTAAGACTTCCGTCCATCTGCTGGGTTTCAGCATGAATAGTTCACCAGGAAAAAGGGACAAGATCACACTGGTAACAAGTCAAGAGAGAGAACAGGAGTGCTTGGAGCTCAGGACAGAGTGAGCAGGCGGGAAATGACCAAACAGAGGCAGGGTGGAGTTCACACTGAAAGGTCTCCTGGGTCAAGCCTGAGTCAACCTTGACTTCCCTTTGCCTCACATCATATATCCACGCCGTCATCATGGCTCAAATACATAACCGGAATCTGCCCATTTCTCACCACCTCCATTGCTACCACTCCAGCACCTGGTCTGAGTCATCCTCATATCTCACCAGGCTTTTTGCAAGAACTTCCTTCTGCCCTTGCCTACCTACAGCCTGCTCTGGACAGAGCAGCCTGAGAGAGAGAGAGAGAGGGAGGGAGCAAGCGAGCCTTCTAACACAGTAGTCCTCAGCCTTGGTTGCATTTTAAAATCTGCTGGGGAATTTTCAAAAAGTTCTTAGGTCTGCACCTCACCCCACATATTCTAGTTAAATTGCTATGAAGTGGGGCCCAGGCAGAGGGATTTTTAAGGCACCCCAGATAATTCTAACTTGTGGCCACAGTTGCAGACCACAATTTCAGTATGTAAGTGTCATGTCTCTTCTCTGTCCAAACCCTCCAGCACTGCCCATTTCACTCAGAGTATAATCCAATGGTTTAAAAGGCCGTATGTGATCTGGCCTCCTGTGACCTCTCTTACCTCCCCCTGGTTCATTCCATTCCATTCTAGCCACTCCAGTCTCCTTTTTCTTGATTGAACAAGTAAGGCAGGCTTCTGCCTTGAGGCCTTTGCCCTTGTTCCCTCCGCCTGAAACACTCTTCACCTAGAGGTCTGCAGGGCGCCATCCTTGACTTTCCCTTAGGTCTTTGCTCAACTATCACCTTACTGATGACGCCTTCCTAGTCCACCCTCTTCAAAATTGCACCTCCTGCCCACCCCTCTCTGTCCTCTTTATCCTGCTCTATTTTTCTTCATAGCGTTTATCATCATCTGACTTAACAATGTATTTTATTTACATTATCTGTCTCTTTTCCACTAGAATGTAAACCCCAGGAGATCAGGAATTTTTGTAAACTTTTTTTGACCGCTGTGTATTCTTATCACTTTAAATGCTGTCTGACATATAGTAAGTGCTCACTAAATCTTTGTTGCATAACTGAATTTCTGTATGTTTACGTGTTGTGGTGGAGGCTGGTCCATGGTTTGGGCCATGTAGAATCTGTGGCACTAAGGGGTACCAAGCACTTGGGTCTGAAGCAGATGATGACTGAAGCTGTGGGAGCACCTGACCAGCCCAGAGGAACATGGACATAGAGGCAAAGGAACTCCCCAAACTTGCATCTCCCTGTATTCATCTTGATGAGTGACACCTCCACCTGCCTGGTGACCAGGCGGGCACCTGGGGTCATCCTGGACTCCTCCCCTCCACATCTCACCCCTCAAACAAGTTCTGTATTATCTAAATATCTCCAAAACCCGCCACTTCCGTCTGTCTGCACTACCACAGCCATCCTCTCCCCCCGACTGCTGCCAACAGCCCAGCCTGAGTGCCTCCATTGTTCTCCACACTGCAGTTTTAATGGTTTTTCTAAAACATTTGACCTCCGCCGGTCTTAAAATCTTTCAGTGGGCTACCTGCTGCCCTTGGGGCCAAGTCCCAGCTCCCACAAGGCCCTCTGTGCACGCGGGTGGGACTCCCTCTCTAAACTCACCGCTCGCCCCTCAGCCTATAGGCCCCCAAAGGGCAGGACCTCCTCACGCCTGCAGGCCCCGGCTCAGGACCCAGCCGAAGCGACTCTTCTTGGGAGAAGCCTTTCCTGCTGACCGCATTGCCTCCTCTGGCCCCGAGCCTCACCTCACGCACACTCATTACTGACACTGTTTGGCGGCCTGTCACCGGCGTGGCTGGGGGCGCCTGAAGTAATTGCAAGGTGTCTGTGTGGGTGCTGCTGCGCGAGGGAGAGGGGACGGCGAGGCAGCCCCAGGGAGGTGGAAAGAGAGCCAGGAGCCAGTCTTAGAAGCCAATGGGTGAGTGTGCAGGGTGTTCCGCTGCGTCAGCGAGGCCCGAACCGCCCTTGGGAGGAGGAGCCTGGGGTCTAGCGCCGCGCAAGCGGCCCTCGTTCCCACCAAGGGGCACTGAGGACTTCGCGCCCGTAGACCTGGCGGGGGTCGCTTGGCTAGGTCTCAGCCTGCTGCCCTCCCCAGGCGAGCTTCCTTTCTGGCACTCTGCATCGGAGCGGAAGGGGCGGGAACGCAGACAACGAGAAGGAGCCGGTGGTCCAGGGTCCGCGGCCCCGCGGGAGAGCCGGCATCCTCTCTGCGCAGGCGCGCCACCCAGGCCGGGAGGGGTGGGGCCCGGACAGGTCGAGGGGCGGAGTCAGATCCTGGGCCCGCCTCCAGTAGCTCCTGAGAGCCCTGGTGCGCTGGGCACCCCGGCTATTCTAGGGGCTTCAGGTGAGCGGGGGGCACAGAGGGGTCAGGAGACCTCCCTCGAGGTCCGGTCGTCGGTCTGACCGCAGGTCCTTCTGTCCTGCCGTCTGCCTACAGCCGCCTCCGCGGAGAATGGGAGAACAAAGGGAGGGGGCGGTTCTGGGGCCCCTGAGGGAATCCGGGGTCCCAGGTACCCCGCCCCGCCCGCTGACACTTTCGGTTTCTCTCCGAGTCAGAGGCGCCGCCCAAGAGACCCTGGGCCGGCGCCGGGCGCAGCTGCCTTTCGGCGTTTGCCTGTCCGTCTTTGTGTCTGTCTCTGTGTCTGTCTGGCTGTCTCCGAGCTTGCCTCCACTTCTAGAACTAAGCTCCTCGGACACCGACATCCCGCCAGCCCTCGCCCCTTCCCCATGGCTGGTAAGTGGGCGCAAGGCTGAGGGTCTCCGTTATCCCCCCACGGACTTGGGAACCGGGTGTCGAACACATCCTCCGGGAATGTGCTCGGACTGGCTGAGTAGGGCTCCTCCCTTCCTCCCAGGGAGCCGCCGCCCTGCTCCCCCGCCCCATCTTTCTCAGTCTCTCCTGACCGCATTTCCCCCGTGGCCTCGCGGCCCGTGGGCTAAGGGGCATGGGGATGAGGCCGCGGGTCCCTTTCTAATCTACTCCTGTCCCCTCACAGGCCACTTGGCCCCCAAAGACTACGCCCCTTCGCCCCCACCTCCCTACCCTGTGACCGCCGGGTACCCGGAGCCAGTGCTGCATCCTGGGCCCGCGCAGGCGCCAGTGCCCTCCCACGCGCCTGCCCCTGCGCCCGGCTTCGCTCTCTTCCCCTCGCCTGGCCCCGGGGCCCCAGGGCCTGTTGTCCCCTTTTTGCCACTGCCAGGGGTGCCTTCTGGCCTGGAATTCCTGGTGCAGGTGAGTGGGAGGGAGAGAGGAGTGACGGGGAGGGGACCGGACGTGCAGGCCCGCCAACTGACGGCGGCGTGGCCCCTACTCTCTTTCCAGATTGATCAGATCTTGATTCACCAGAAGGCTGAGCGAGTGGAAAGTGAGTGGAAGGAGGAGTAGTTTAGGCCTCGTGATGGGGACAGTGATAGTGGGCTGTTGGGCAGGCGCCGGTGCCTGAGCCTCAGCGTGTCACCCCTTGGCAGCGCTTCTAGGCTGGGAGACAAGTAACCGGTATGAACTGCGCTCGGGGACCGGACAGCCCCTGGGTCAGGCGGCTGAGGAGAGCAACTGCTGCGCGCGTCTGTGCTGTGGTGCCCGCCGGCCCCTGCGTGTCCGCATGGTGGACCCCGGGGACCGAGAGGTGCTGCGCCTGCTCCGCCCCCTCCACTGTGGCTGCAGCTGCTGCCCTTGTGGCCTCCAGGAGGTGGGCGGGGAGGGATGGGGACTGGGAGAGACTTCGGTCTTAATGGGGCCGGCCAATTGTGGGGCAGGATCTGGGAGAAGGCCTGGGAGGAGGCGTGCTTCAGGTGGGAGTGGGCAGGTGGGATGGGAGGTCTAGTGAGGGGGATGACAGGTGGTCTAGTGAAGGGGATGGGAGGCCTCGTGAGGGGAGATAGGTGACAGAGCTGGACTGATGAGAGCTTGGGCCAGGGTGCCCTGGCTCAGCAGTGATCCTGACTGCCTCCCACTCCAGATGGAAGTACAGGCTCCACCTGGCACCACCATTGGCCACGTGCTACAGACCTGGCATCCCTTCCTCCCCAAGTTCTCCATCCAGGATGCCAATCGCAAGACCATCCTGAGAGTGGTGGGGCCCTGCTGGACCTGTGGCTGTGGCACAGACACCAACTTTGAGGTACGTACCAGGACATAAGGGGAGATTCCTGGGAACTTCATAAACCAAGATGATGCATGAGGCAGGATGGCCAACTCTAAGGTCAAGACCCTGAGCTCATCAACCCAGATCCACTGTGACTCCTACCACATTTCCAGTTTTCCTCCATTCAAAAAGAGGATGGCCCCGTGGTCTTACGAAAACATGGCAAAGATGGTTTCATCTTAAGGACCAGTGCTGATTGTTACCTGCAGCCCTGTGTTGAGGGAGGAAAACTCTAAGGCCAGGCTGGATTTAGAGTAGAGGATGGTTATTGAGTCTGTCATGGACTGAGCCCATGTGGCTGCTGTGCACGAGTCTGTGAGTCCAGGCCCTGGAGCAAGTACTCATTTAACTTGTTAACATCCTGTCGCTTGCCCTGCCAACCCAGAAGTCCAAATGGCCCCTCCAACCCGGAATCCAGGTGATATCCTTCGGACCATGCATTCCAATCACCAGCCTAGGGCCTGGAGAACCCAAGTGGTGACCGTTTCGAGTGAGGCCTGGGAAGCACCTTCCTTTCTAGAAAACCAAGTCTCTTGAGGGATAATTACCTGTGCAGATAAAGGAGAAACAACAGGTATAATCCTGTAGACTTCCCAAGGCTGCTGATGAGGTGCCCTATCTAAGGTTACTTTTAAAAACTGAGTCACCTTGGTAGCTGTGGAAAGTTTCTGTGATGAGAGCTGGCTGGAAAAGAGATAACTGGGTGACCTCTGGATGGGAATATGTAGACTGTGGGGTTCTCATAGGATCATAATTATGAACGGGCCATATTTGGGGCTGTACTCTTGGGACCGAAGGGCTGGCTGGGAGAGCCCTGCCCAGCCTGAGACTGGTGTGCAGGAAGTGCCCAGAGCTGCAGGACTGGGGGAAGGGGTGGGGCAGGACACAGAAGGATATCATTCTAGTTCTAGCCACTGGAGAATGAACATATGAAAAAGGACGAAGGAGTCACTATGAATTACCAACACCCATGTCGGCATGGCCTATTGCTGCTGGGCCCAGAGAGGCCAGTGGAAATCATGGTCCTCAGGGGCCACTTACTGCTGCCCCCTCCCCCTAATAGATGAGCTTGGATCCCCTCTAGATGAGGCTTGCATGCAGTTCTGGACAGGGCCCTCCCTACTTTACAGATCAGAGGAAAGCCACCCCTTTTGGCAGACACAGCCTTCTAGGAGCCTGGTTGGCTGGTGGACTGTGGCCAGGAGTTGGCAGCCTCCCTTGCCCTCTTGGCCAAGCTACTTTGTGCAGGGCACAAACTGCACCATCTGTGGGTGGCAGGGACTTGGTAACCAAACAAACCTAGCAACCAGCCACACACTAAGGAGATGAGACTATATTGTGCTTCCATTTCTCCCAGCAAAGATGTTCACTTGTCATGTATGGCCTTTCAAGAGCAACAGATCTGAGTGTGAATCCTGATTTTTGCTCTATACTCACAGTGTGACTTAGGGTGCCTCAGTTTTCCCAGATGTCACATGGCTGTTGGATTCACTAAGTGTAGAGCCTACACATTTCATACATGGCGACTGTGGGAGTGAGGCTGGAGGCAGGTGAGATCAATTGCATCCTCCCCAGTTGGGTCCTTCCTTCCTCCTTCCTCTCTGCTGACAGGTGAAGACTCCAGATGAATCCCGAAGTGTGGGCCGCATCAGCAAGCAGTGGGGGGGGCTGCTCCGAGAAGCCCTCACGGATGCAGATGACTTTGGCCTACAGTTCCCGCTGGATCTGGACGTGAGGGTGAAGGCTGTGCTGCTGGGAGCCACGTTCCTCATTGTGAGTTGGCTGCCTCCGCCCCTGCCCTCCTACTTCTCCTTTGCTCCCACTCGAGCCTTCGTTTACTTCCTGGCCTCCCGCTAGGAGAGGGTTAGGGACAGACTTTATGGGGGGCTGTGGTTCTAGACCTGGTTGTGATAGCTGAGCCAGGCTGGCCCAGCCAGATCTCCTGTTGACAGTGCCCTCCCCTCAGGACTACATGTTCTTCGAGAAGCGAGGAGGCGCTGGGCCCTCTGCCATCACCAGTTAGAGGCTGCCTCAGGGTGAGGAGACCATCACCTCAACCAGAATTCAAGATGGTCACCTGGCCTGGCCCCTCCTCAGAGGCAGCACCTTTCCTCCATGTACATACACTACAGGGGAGAGACAGGGATGCCTGAGAGGCGCGGGGGGCCGTGGCACCCCATTCCCCACCCTCCTCCCCTGGCTTCTCTCACCTATGACCCCCACAGAAGGGTATGTATGAGAGCCCTTCCCCTGCTACCTCCCACCACTGTCTCCGGCAGTCCCTCAGCACACAGGCATGTCAGCTTTCAAACTTTTCCTACCCACTTTCTCCCACCCCCTTCTAGGGCCTCTGCTGCAGATGAGGCCTTTGGAATCCAGGGCTCTGGGGTTTTACAACAGGGCTCGGGTGGGGAAGGGTAAGCAGCACCAAAGATGGCAGACATGGCCATCCTTCCCCTGCATCAGCTTGGCCAATCAGTTCAGCCTCAGACCATGGCACTCTGAGGGGATCCCCACCTGCCCACCAGCAGCTGTAGGGCCTAGACCCCAGTGCCAACCTCCTCTCCCCCTTGGGCCCTGCCCACACCTGGTGCTTGCTGCAACTTCCTGTGCCTTACTTAACCACCTCTTCCTTCCCTTGCCCTAGGAAGGAAACTGCATCTTTGTATGTTATATTCATATAAACTTTGTAACTTTTTGGACATTGGAAAATGTATGTAACGGGAGAGGGTAGAAAAAAGATTTGGTGTAGGAAGAAACAAAAGGAAATATGACAGCTGGGCTGGGGAGGGGCTGGCCTGTCTCATTATCCATGCTGCCAGGATCAAGTGTCTTTGAGTCTAAGAGAGCAACTTTCATCATCCATGATGACCCCAGACGAAGCCAAGGCAGTTTGGCTTCCATCATCCAAGATGGCTGCCCCCAAAGTCCAGTATGGTAGCTGATGGCAGTTCAGGATGGCTATTCCCCTGGTCCAGTATGGCCACTTGATCATTCTTTGTAGTGAGTAGAAGCTTCCTGTGGGTATGATGTATAGCAGCTGTGTTCCTCCAAGACCTCCTTTTGGTTGGGAATGTGGTGGGCAGAGTAAATTAGATCCTTCTATGACCCAGCCAAAGGAGCTTGAGCCCTCAAGAGGCCAAGGGGCAGGGTAGGAGACACTTGTCAGTGCCCGACCCTGGGCTCCTCCTGTGTCAGCTACAGCAAGATCTCTCCAGGTGGGAAAGTCTGCTCTGATAGGACCTTATTCTGCTTCTGCTTGGTCCCATGTGGCCAGGCCCTTGGTCAGGCTGGTGTCTGTGCCCAAGGGAGTAGAGCTCAGGGCCGGGCCAGGACATAGCGACTGGCAGCTGAGAGGTCCCACTGGTAATGCTCCAGGATGCGCCGGCAGTCAGCTCTGGATCGGCTACTTAGGTGGAAGAGCTGGTCTACCTGTGGAGGCAGGAGGGAGGGCAGCTGACTGCTAGAGGGCAGGGGCAGGAGAGGCAGGAACCTGAGAAGGGTCTGGCTTTACCTTGAGGTTCCGGATGGCAGAAACCACATCTCCCCCAGTAGCCCTCAGTGCTGCCTGGCATTCCTGGTGGGTGACTCCATGCACGCTCAGCTCCACCTGCAGGAAACAAAGCCTCGCTTAGGCCCACACCCCAGCCTGTAGCCTCTTCCGGACACCAGGCCACTTCAGGGAGACCTCACCTCCATAATCCTCCTCTGAAACTCGGAGTCGGGTGAGAGGCCTCCAGAGGGGACGGTGGCTTTGCTGGCTCCTGGCGCGCCCATGGGGTGACTGTGGGGGGGTTCTCTTTTGGGCCAGGGAGGCTGCTCCCTGGGGGTCTGACTGGGCTGAGAAGAGCCTGAGGCAAAGGGAGGGCGGGGTGGCAGGCCTGGAGGTCCCTGGGGCACAGCTCTGGCATGTCGAAGTTCCGGTGGGCTGGAACCACCTCCTGTGGGGCGGGGACCCAGGGACAGAACCGATTCCAGACTCTTGGAAATGCCTGCACAGTTGAGAAAGAAATGACCTGAAAGGAAGCCCGGATGCCAGGCCCTGCCCTCCTGTTCTATGTCTATGCTGCCCTCAGGGTGGTCCTTGGGTTAGGTGGGATAGTAAGACAGGTATACAGAACAGACACCCAGGCCCAGGCAGCTGAGGACCCAAAGAACTGAGAGTGCAGGGGCTACAGAGGGGAAATGCTGTTCAGTGAGGAGGGCAGACCTTAGAGTACACCTAGGATGTCAATAGGCAGAATGTGGGGGAAGGAAAGCATATGCAAAGCATGGATTCAGAGCAGGGGGCAGAACTAGAGGGTGGTTCTTGATCCTCAGAGACCCTGGAGGCCCTGTCCCCACCTCCACGCCCACCTTTCATCTTCTGCAGGGGCTCACCCCTTCTCTGGCCCCGGGCTGGAGGGGGATCCCGAAGCTTTGCCTTCACTCTGTCCCTGTTGGAGAGTGATCCATTCATTCTCCACACACACCCCACAGATCAATGTCCCCTCCCAAAGAAACTCTCTGGGGCTCCCACCCAGAGTGGAAGCTCCAGCTGGGAGGCAAGTCCAGCCTCCCCACCAGCTTCGCCCTGGCCCCCTCCCCAAGCTTCCCTTCCAGAGAAGTTGCTGAACTTGGTTAACTCCCCCAGTCTAGCTCTGCCCCCAACTCTTTCAAGTCCTCACCCATCTATGCTTCCCTGGCGACATTCTCCCCGGGCAGGAGAGCCTCTGTGGACTGGACGGGTGGCTGGCAAGCCCCCCAAGTCTGCCAGCGTCACTGCCGAGGCTGGGAAGCTGCCCACTTTGAATGTGCGACCATTCTGGCCCTTCCAGGTTGCAGAGTCGGGGCTGTGGGAAGAGGCACTGGTGAAGGGGATGGGGGCGGGGGTGGCACGCGGACTGGGCTCTGGCCCACATTCAGCTCACAAGCTGTGGGCCATGGAGCCACATCTGCCTGGAGGAAGGGAAGCCTTTTTCTTCCTAACACAAAAGGGCTCTATGGGCCTGTGGTGGCTCCAGCGGGGAGGCCAGCACTGTGGTGGAGCTCTCGGGGCCCAGTGGGGAGAGGAGGAGATGAGGCAGAGGATCAGGGTTCAAGGAGCTGGGAAGAAGCAGAGATGGGACCAAAGTCAGGAAGGTTGAGAGGGAGTCGTCCTCCTGGGGATGGGTGGGAGGCATGGGGCCCTCACCTGCCCTCGATGATAGTGATGGGGTCCCCAGACTCCATTTTCAGGGCACCTAGCTCTGTGACATCCCTCACACAACGTCCCTCAGGAGGCCAGGCCTGTAGAGACAGGAGGAAAGGGTGGCTGGGCTTGTGGCTTGAGTCAGAGGGGTAACATCATGGGAGCAGAGAAGAAAGGAGACTCTAATTTATGCACCCACCAATCAAACCCATACCAGGTATGTCCTTGTCCTCGCCCAGGGTGGAACTGTCCCTGTCCCCCAGTTGTAATCCAGTGGGGGAGACAGACTGGATGCCATGCCAAACTGGACACAGCCCAGGGGTCAGGGAGCAACAAAGGGGGGCCCTGTCTCTACCTAGGGGGACCAAGTGGGGAGTCATCCTGTATACTGCTTTTCCTCCACACCCAGGCCCATCAGATCTGCCTCCCAAGCACCTCTGGAAATTTTCCATTTCTTTCCAGTCCCATGCCTTGACTCTCACCCAGACATCTTCATATCGCTTCTGCTTCACAGTCATTGTCACCTACCTAGTCTGCCCATCTTCAGTATCACCTCTCTAATCCATTCTTGCACCAAGCCAGAGTGATACAACATATAAAGATGGCTTGTAACTCCCTTGCTCAAAACCCTTCCAGGGCTCCCAGGTGCCCTCAGAGTAAAGACTAAATAAACCCCTTTAGAGCCAGCCCAGTGGTGTAGTGGTTAAGTTCACACGCTCGGCTTTGGTGGCCTGGGGTTCATGGGTTCGGATCCCTGGAGTGGACCTACACACTGCTCATCAGACCATTCTGTGGTGGCGTCCCACATACAAAGTGGAGGAAGACTGGCATGGATGTTAGCACAGGGACAATCTTCCTCAAGCAAAAAGAGGAAGATTGGCAACAGATGTTAGCTCAGGGCCAATCTTCCTCAGCAAATAAATACATACATACATACATACATACATAAACTCCTTTAACAGTAGAGTATAGTGATTTAGGGAACACCTCAAGTCAGATTTGCTGGTTCAAATCCCAACTCTTCCACCTACTGTGTGACTTTAGGCAAGTCACTTAAACTGTCAGTGCCTTACCACCAAATCTGTAACATCGAGATAATAATGACCTCGGTGGGTGGTGAGGATTCAGTGAGTGAACAGGCATAAGGATGCATGTAAAGCATGTAGTGCAGTATCTTACACGGGCCAAGGGCTCTGTGTGTTAGCTCTAGCTATTTATCGTGCCTTACAAACCTCCCCCATGGCACAGCCCCTGGCACCTCTACCGCTTTAGTTACTTTTATTCCTCCTCCCATTCTGAACTTCTTTTCCTCTGCCTGTCAGACACCCACTGTAACCTACTGCTCTCTGCTCTGTGCTCCCCTTCTCTGGCCCAGCCCCAGCCCCAGGTCCTTCAGCCTGCATCTGTGTAGCCCCAAGCTGCCTCCCCAGGGCTCTGGGCTCCCTGCAGATAGGGACTGAACCTGTTTTGTTCACAGCCAGGTCCCAGATCCCAGCCCAGGAGTCAATATTTATTGGTCTTGTCCCTGGGAGAGAGAATGGAGGGAAGAGAGACTGAGTGTATCTGGGAGGCAGGGGTTCCCACCTCTTGGAGCAGCCCCTCCAGGTGGGAAAAGCTAGGCCGGTCAGCAGGATGGGGGGCCCAGCAGCGCAAGGCGAGGGCGTAGAGGGCCCTGGAGCAGAGGGGAGGCCTAGGCAGCCTGGCTCGGTCCTTCTCCAGCCTCTGCAGGATGAGGTACGGTGGGACCCCAGCCCAGGGCTCCTCACCCCCGGAGAACATCTCCCACAGCGTCACCCCAAACATCCACACGTCCGAGGCAGAAGAGAAGAGCCCGTGGCGCAGGCTCTCTGGAGCACACCTGCGGAAGTAGAGCTGAAGGGGGCCGGATATGTGCCCCTCGGAGCTCCCACCTTCCACCGAACACGCTCCCTTGACGCTCCCGCCGTCCTCTTAAGTCCTCCTTTGCACCCCCTTCTAGACCCGACGACTCCTCCTGTCCAGCCTCCCTCGGAGGACCAGCCCCCTCATCACTCCCCCTTAGCTAGTGCCCTCCAGATCCGCCCCCTCTCTTCCGGGCTCGAAGCCAGACCACCCCCCGGGCCCCGCCCCTCACCAGGCAAACGGGATGGGCCGGGGTCCGCCCATGACATAGCGGCCCCGGGCACCGCCCAGCGGCCGCACCAGCCCGAAGTCGGCCACCTTGATTATTCGTGGCGAAGCCAGCAACAGGTTGCGCGTAGCGAGGTCTCGGTGCACCAGCCCGCGGGCCCCCAGGTACGCCATTGCCCCCGCCAACTGCCGCAGGAAGAGGCAGAGCAGGGCCACTGGCAGCGGAGGTGTAGGGGGCGGAGCGGTCAGACGTGCGTGCAGGGAGCCCAGTGGTGCCAGCTCCATCACCTGCGGGAGCATAGCACCGCCTGAGCAGTGGTCCAGCCCCACGGGATTCGGGCCGCCCACCCTCCTGTCGCACACCAACCCTGGGGCTGCTCCAGGAGCCAGTGTCAGGCACTGCTCACCATCTGCAGAGGCTGGCCCAGTACGAGGCCATGCAGTCGCAGCACGTGTGGGTGCTCCAAGTTCATCATGATGGACACTTCTCGCAGGAAATCCCCCAGCTCTGTGCCCATAGGGCCTTCTGGACCCACTCGCAGGGACTTGACAGCCACTGGGACCTGGGGGTGGGGAGAGCATCATCATGCACCCTAGGGAGCAGCTCTGCCAGGGCCAGAGCAGAGAGGGCACACAGAATAGAGGGGGCAGCTGGCCTGGGTACCCAGAATGAAGTAGGCTCCCTGGACACTCACACTCTGGCCGCTGGGCAGTGTCCACAGCCCTCGGTGCACCACACCAAAGCAGCCGGAGCCCAGCAGCTCCCCTCTGCACACAGCACTGTCTGGGATCAGACACTTGAGTCCTCCCTCTGGCTCAGGGAGGGACTGAGTGTTGTCCGAGGGTGGGGTGGTCTCCTTCTGCTCAGGGGCAAAACCCCCAAGGATCTGAAACAGGGGTGGGAATCAAATGTGCAGAACCCCGCATACCCTTCCTTGCCACTCAGCCGACCCCATTTCTGGGGCTGAGCTGGCCCTTTAAGCCTCTCACCTCTGCCCTAGAACACACACCTTGTAGACCCAGTTCTTAGACTTGAGCCCTGAACGGTGCTTCTTCAGAGCTTCAGCCAGTCTGCGCTGAGCTGGGGGAAGCGAGAATCAGAGGCTGGAGTGGTGGGGGGTCGGGGCAGGATGCAAGGGATGTACTGGCAAGAAGAGGGCTGGTGTGTGTGTGCACGGGGGGGGTGGGGGTGTGGGGGTGTGGTGTTAGCAACTAACAGGCTGGAAAAGAGAGACCAGGGCCTCGGGGCAGGGGTCCCTCACCAGGCCGGCCCATGCCAATGCCATCGAGGTCCTCAGGTCTCACAAAGTCGAAGTGTTCTGGCCGAGTAACATTAAGCTCCTCAAGGATGGGTTGGTAAAACTGAGCCAGCTGGATGTCCCGGAGCAGCCGCAGCAGCCACACGGAGCCCACCTCGGGGAGCATGTCTAGAGAAGGAACCCCTAAGGATGACACACTCTCCTCCAGACACACAGCCCAGGGTAGGCACCTGAGACACTCAGACACCAGAGATGTGGTCACCACCTCCACCCTCAACCCGTCAGAAACACTCAGCTACAGAGGGAGGGACACATCAGAGACAGCCAGGAAACCTGCCTCTCACACACACCCCAGGAAGAATGCTCCCCATACTTGAGACCTAGCTACTCTATTCCCTCACCACTGAGCAACCTGCCCTCCTTACACCTGAGATTTTAGCACTGTGCAGTCTTCAGATGTGTTGGCCTGCTCACTCTTGAGATATTATGGCACACTGCCTCTACATCTCTAGGACACCCACATGCACTGCCCTTTTAATCCTGAGGTATACCATTGCACACACTCACCCAAATACACCTGAGACCCCTTATGCACACCAGAGATGCCCAGATACGCTAACCACACCCAATCTCAGACATGCAGGTACACACATACACAGATATACACATGAACATACATTGTCTCCCACACCCAGGTACACTGCTACACACGCAGACAGACAGACAGACAGACACACACACACACACACACACACACACACAGACCTACAGATAAGCTGCAAGAGATGCCTGAGACACCCAGATGCCTGTCCTCTCAAATCTGAGACTTTCCAGTCTGCTGCCATAAAACACCCAGGCTTACTGCCACATACCCCCTCATATACACATACTTGAGACGCGCCAGTTCACTGCCTCCAAGACACACCGCCCCACACGTCTGCGACATCAAGGTCCACATAAACACACACAACACATAAGACATCACAGTACAGCGTCCACACATATCTGAGTTAGGCAGGCACACTGCCCCATCAGCCCAGAGACGCCCAGGGCAGCAACATTTGAAATCAAATCGGTGGTTCCGGATGGGGGGTTAGGGGCAGGCCACACTAGACTCCAGTACGGCGGCCTTCAGAGCCACCCAGGCTGCCAGGTGCACAGTCCTTTCCACACCCACCTTTCCACACCCACCTGAGCTCAGCTCCTGGTAGAGAGCCCTGCTCGCACACCTGAGTCGCTCAATCTAACTTGGCTTCAAGGCACCTCCACCAGTCTGTATTAAATAAGGCTCTAGGTGCGCCGGGTGATGGCTGCCTGCGCAAACACACTCTCCCTTACACACACCGGGACCCCTCCCTCCGCACGGTCGTTCAGCCAGGAGGTAGCGGAGGACCCGAGGCTGGGCCCAGATGGAAACCCGTCCGTAGGCTGAGGAACCGGGCGCGAGCAGGGGCCGGGAGGAGAACGCCCGGGACCAGGGAGAGTTGGCACCGCTTGCAAGGTGAGAAGGTGAAAGCACGGGAGAGGGGACAGGAGGAAACGCGGCCGCGGGAGGGAAGGACCCGGGGAGCGGAGCGGAGCGGAGACGGGCAGATTCCGCACCCGCGGACCTACCCAAGCGACGGCTGCTCCGCCAACCCCAGCTCCGGGCGCCCCGCTTATCCAGACCTCACCTGGCGAAGGCGGAAGCGGCGGCTGGGAGCCGCCCGGGCTGCCAGCACTAAATCCCGAGAGGGGCGGGACCAGGCCGCGGAGGGCGGGACTCGGGCTGCGCCGCGCCCCCAGTCCCCTGGCAGGACAGGTAAGGGCTGCGAGGGCGGCTGGCGGGCCCCTCCCTCCGCCAGGCCGGACCCTGAGAAACCTCCCTTCCCCTGTCCTTTGCTCGCCTTCCTTCACACCCTTTTTCCAAAGAACTTTTCATCCCTCTCCAGACTTCCTCCTCGATGTCCTCCCCCATGCCTCCTCTCGCCAAAGCCTTCCCCTCTCTCAACGAGAACGCCACCCTTAAATGAATAAGCGATATCCTGATAGCGATATCCTGCCCAGGCACTGGGAATATAGGCCAAACAGGACAGGTCCCTGTCTCCTCGTAGGGGAGAGAGCTTCCTAGCACTCCAGTGGAGGAAGGCCCGCAGTGCAGGGTGCTTCGGGAGGGAGCCAGGGCAGACAGGTGTTGACCGTGGTGCAGGCAGTCAGCCCCCAGCCTAGAACAGAGTCTCAGATTGAAGCCGTTGTCTTTTTCCCAGCTCTGAACTTCAGTCCAATGTGCTGCACCTGAAAAAGACCTTTAGGGGAGCTCCCCAGGGTGGAACATGTGGGAGGTCTTGTGTGTGTGTGTGTGTTAGAGGGATGGGGACACAGCTTCTGAGTGGCTCCTCAGCCACATCCCAGCTTGGTACATGGTCTTGGTATCAAAGGCAGCACTTGTGCCTCAGGGCACTCTTCCCCAGCACTGCCACTTCCTGGCTTCATTCGAGGCATAACCCCTCTCCACCATGTAGCCTCTGCTGACCCTAGGGCAGGGACACAGTCCAAAACCTTGAAGAAGGCTCTGAGGAGGAGCAAGCCCTCTCTTTTTCTACCAAGAGTCCCAGGGAGGAAGCCACCAGTCTTAGGACATCTGGCCTGTGTCCTTCTGCCCAGGGAAGGATGTGTGAGCATAGCAGCTGCTATCCCCAGAGTCCCTTGGAGGGAAAAGGGTAAACACACGGGGAATGCCAGCATTGATGGGAAAATCGTCATAGTTCACAGTTATTCCTGTATGGTTTCCTTGCCAGGTCTTTTGCCCTCCAGCCTGGCCAGCTCATAACCCTATAATTGCTCCCTCCACATCTGTCTTCCTTGATATACTATGGACTCCACCCAGCAGGGGCTGGATCTGTGTTGTTAATCCTATGTTCTTAGTAGCTGGGACAGCGTGGACATACAATGGGTCTGATGCATCCTGATTGTGAAGAAGTCTGCTCCATCTGATTGCCATTCTTTTGTAGGTGATGTCTTTTCTCTCTGCTTTTGAGATACCATTGGTATTTTGTAGTCCTATTACAAAGTATCTAAGCATAGATTACTTTCTGTTTATTCTGCACAGTATGTTTTATTTCATATATCTATGAATTCGCATCTTTATCAGTTTTGGAAAATTCTCAGCCAGTATCTCTTCAAACATTCTTTTTTTTTTTTTTTTTTAAAGATTGGCACCTGAGCTAACATCTGTTGCCAATCTTTTTTCTTCTTCTTCTCTCCAAAGCCCCCCAGTACATAGTTGTATATTCTAGTTGGAGGTCCTTCTAGTTCTGCTATGTGGGACGCCACCTCAACATGGCTTGATGAGTGGTGCCATGTCCATGCCCAGGATCCAAACTGGTGAAACCCTGGGCCATTAAAGCAGAGCCCACCAACTTAACAACTTGGCCACAGGGCCAGCCCTACTTCAAAGATTCTTTTTCCCTCATTCTTTGTGTCCTTTCCTTTGAGGACTCTGATTAGAAGTGTGCTAGAGGGGCTGGCCCCGTGGCTGAGTGGTTAAGTTTGCATGCTCTGCTTTGGCAGCCCAGGGTTTTGCCAGTTCGAATCCTGGGTGTGGACATGGCACTGCTCATCAAGCCATACTGAGGTGGCATACCACATGTCACAACTAGAAGGACCGACAAATAAAAACTACACAATTGTGTAGTGGGGGGCTTTGGGAGAAAAAGGAAAAAAAATAAAATCGTTAAAAAAAAAAAGTGTGCTAGGTCTTTTCACTCTGTCCTCCACGTCTTTTAATCTCTTCCATATTTTCCATTCTTTGTGTCTCTGTGTTGCAATCCAGGTAATCTCTTCAGCTCTATCTTCCGGTTCACCAGTTCTCTCTTTGGTTATGTCTGATGTGCTGTTTAATCCATACAGAGGGGTTTTCTGGCATTGTTATATTCATATGAATGTTACTGTATTTTTCTATGCTGATAGTACTTTATTGAGGTATAACTTACATTCAGTAACATGCACTGATTTAACTGTACAGCTCAATGCATTTCAATAAATCTACACATCCATGAATGCAAATGAAGATCTAGAACATTTCCACCATCTCGAAAGTTGCCTTGTGCCCATTTTCAGTCAATCCCAATTCCCCGGAGGCAACTACTATTCTGATTTCTAAAACCCATAGATCAGTTTTGCCTGCTCTTAACCTTCTTGTCAATGGAGTCACACAGTGTTTATTATTTGCATTTGGCCTCTATCACTCAACATATTTTTGAGATTCATCTTGCTGTCGTCCAGGTTGTTGGTGGGAAACACAATGGCTCCATGAGCTTCTTCAGAGAAGAGCATGTGAAACCTGATTTTCCTCTGAATGTCCAGTGTTCTTACATATCTGAGTGCACTGGAGGTCATCTGGGAGTCTACATGAGTGTAGAACATATGGAGAGATATGAAGGCAGATGCAGCCGGAGAGGTTGGCAGAAGCCAAACTAGGCATCAATTCATCCTTCCAGCAAGTTTTCACTGTGCCAGGTTCTGGGGACCCAGGTGAAGAAGCAGACGCCGATCCCTGCCCTGATTGGATTCATTCTACAGGGCCTGGCAGAACACGGTTGGGAGTTTGGGCCTTACCTAAAGGCTCTGGTAACCACTGAAAGGTTTTATACAGGGGAGTGACAGAACCAGCCTGCTGTAGTCAGAGGCTGGGAAAAGGGGAGAGAGAAGAAGCAGGGAGCTCAGGGAAGAGGCTCTTACCATTGGTTCAGGGGAGAGAGGCTGGCCCTGCCTAGGCCTTGTCTATGGGATGGAGAGGAGGCTGAGGATAGAGGGTGCTACTGACTGGACTCCTGGCCTAGGTCCTCTGTGCTCCAGCAGGAAACCAGAGGCAGTGGCTCAGCCCCACCTTTGTCTTTGGCTTGGAATAAACCCAGGGAATCAGAGACCTCTTATTCCTTCCCTTCTTGTTCATTTCTTACTTTTGGAGTTAAGCTACTATCTTACCCACCTTTGCCCATAAAGAAGGATGGGATGAGGGGGAGCACAACCAGACCATCCTAACCACCCTCAGGGAGCAGATCCCTTAGGCTGAGATGGAGCATCCTGCTAATAGCATTTAAACCTGGAGGCCCAGATCTGGCACCGCCCCCCTCCATCTGCATTTCCCCAACTTCTGCCCTGCCCTGCAGGCTCTGCATCCGAGAAGGATGAGCACATTCACACTACCAGGGCCAAGTCTTTCCTCACAGAGCAGGGAACCAGAAGGATAAGCAGAGAGGGCACCCAGGTTCTCCCCCCGCCACCTCCTGGCCTTGGGTTTGGGTTGGGAGTGGGGCCCGTCCCTGTGCAGAAACCTCTCCATTTCCATTGGGAACCACATTGATGCCCCCTTAGCTCCTCCTTTCCTGCTCTGACCCCTGAGATCACTGGGCTCTCCCAGTGATCTCAGGACTTGTATGCATCTGTTAGTTTGCTTTCCAAAGGGGAAGCACTCTTAGATCCACAATATTCTTTTAACCTCCCAGTGGAGCTGAGGGCTTTTACAGCATGGTAGCTTAGACCTTACCTCTGGAGCCCGCCTGCCTGAGTTTGAATCTCAGCTTTACCTCATACCATCCTGTGAATCTGAGCAGGTTACTTCATGTTTCTGTGCCTCTGTTTTTTCATCTTCAAGATGAGCCTATTACAAGTATCTACCATATGAGTTATTGGAGAATTAACTGTGTCTACGTATGTGGTAGCCAGTCTCCAGAATGGCTGCCAGTGAAACTCTCCTCCCTGTGTTCACACTGTTCTATAGTTCCTTCTCACAATAAATAGAGCTGATCTGTGTAATCAATGGGATATTGCCGGAAGGATGGTGTGTGACTTCTGAGCTAGGTCATATAAGACTGTGTGACTTTCTGCCCTCCTCTCTTGGAATCCTCGCTCTGGGGGAAGCCAGCCACTATGACGTGAAGACACTCAAGGAGCTCTGTGGAGAACCTCCACATGTCAAGGAACCGAGGCCTCTTGACAACAGCCAACACTAACTGGCCAGGCATGTGAGGGAGCCCTCTTGGAAGCTGATCCTCCAGCCCCAGTCAAACCAAATCCTGCAGATTCCTGCAGCCCTGACTGACATCTTGACTGCACCCTCATATGAAACTCCAAGCCAGAGCCACCTAGTGAAGCTGCTCCTGAATTTCTGATCCACAGAAACTATGAGATAATAAATGTTTCAGACAATTGAGTTTTGGAATAATTTGTTAAACAGCTATAGATAATACAATCCATAAAATGCTTAGAATGGTGTGGGACACAGTCTCCATACGTGTAAGCCATCATTAACTCCATTTTACAGGTAGGAAGACTGAGGCTCAGGCTGGTGAAGTGATGTTCCTCGTGCACATAGGTAAGAAGTGTCAGGACCAACCATGTCAGGCACCCGTGCCAAGTCCTCAGCTTCTTTTTCTGCCCCACTGATCCAGTTATCTGTTGTTAAGTAATAATACCTAGTGGCATAAAACAACCATTTTATTATGCTCCTGGACTTTGAGAATCTGGAATTGCAACAGGACACTGTGGGGATGGTTTCTCGCTGCTCCACTATGTCTAGGGCCTTAGTTGGAAAGACTGAAACTCTGAGGGTGACTTGACAGCTGGAGGCTGTATTATCACTCATGTGTCTGACAGTAGATGCTGGCTTTGGCCGAACCCCTTCATGTGGATTCTTCGTGTAGGCTGGGTTCGCTCATAGCATGGTGACTGGTTTCCACAAGCAGAGGGCAGAAGGTACCAGCACCTGGGCTCAGAAAGTGGCCCAGTGTTACTTTTGCCGCATTCATTGGTCAGACAGTCAGGGAGCCCAGGTTCAAGGGGAGGATACATAGACCCAACCTCTCAATGGGAGGAGTGTCAAAAAATGTGGGGCCATTGTTTCAAACTGCTACACCTGCAGCAGCCTCCCCTGTTTGGTGAGAGGCTCAGAAAAACCAGCCCTGCCGTGACAGACCACACTCTGGTGGCTTGGCCCTATGTACACAGAAAAGAAACATAAACTCCACCAGCCTCCTGTGCAAGGTGCTCACGAAGAGCTTACATGGTGAGGGCATATCCCAAGGGTTCAGGGAAGGGGCTGGAGTTGTCAGGACACTTCCTGGTGTCTACTCTGTGCAGGGCACTGAGGAAACAAAGACACAAAACCTTAGGTGGTGGCTTTATAGGGCAGAGCATAGTGTAGAGGGAAGATGTATAAAGAACCCCACCACCAGATGTAATATGGGCCTCATGAGAGATGCCTGGAGAAGGGGCACTCTACCCTGTCGCAGGGGTTCAGGGAAGGCTTCTCAGAAGAGGCAATGTCGGAGCCAAAGGAGAAGGGTATCCCAGGAACAAGCCTGGGCAAAGGGAAGGAGACACGAGGACAGAGTGTTTGGGCAACCACAAGTGATTCAGTGTGGCTGTGGGATGGGCAGTGCTTCGAGAGAATGCTCCAGGGACATGTGGGGGCCAGATTCCAAGAAGTATTACAAAGGTAGATTACGTATTGATGAGAAGTGGGCATGTGGCATGAGAGAAAGAGGTCCGTGACCCTGTTGGCACTGCCATTAAGCGTGAGAGAGATTACATGAGGTGGGTGGGGTTGGGGGGAAGGTGGGTTTGGACATGTGGAGTCTGAGATGCCTGTGGGCATTCAAGCAGAGATTCTAGATATCTCCATATTTGGACAGCTCTGGCCTGAGGACAAAATAAGGCAGGGTGGAGCTGCCGATAGAGAGCCTTGAGTGTCAGGGTAAGGGCCAGGTCTATATTCTGTAGGCAAGGAAGAGCTAGGGAAGGGTTTAGTCAGAGACTATAATGGCTAACACTTAATGAGGGCCCATTACATGTGGGGCACAGTCCCAAGCATTTTATATGAACTTATTTGGATCTCCCAGTAATCCTGTAGGGTAAGTACTGCTGCACTTCATTGATTGAAGATATCATCAGTTCTAATATGTACCATTATGCCATGACATAGCTTCAATTTAAGATGGATTCTTCAGAGATGTTAAAATGTAAACAGAAAAAAAAAAGAGCCCATAGAATCCATGAAATACATGATCTGCATTTAAAAGATGAGGCAACAGGCACAGAGAATAATTTGCGCAAAGTCCAGTAAGAGACAGAGCCAGATTTGAAATCAGGAAGCCCAACTCCACAGCCCAGCTTCTTAACCATCATTTAATGCCCGAGAGGAGGCGTGAGCAACATGGAGGTTTGAGAAGAGCAGTGTGGCCGCTGAGGGTGAGATGGATTTGAGGGGAGTGGGCAGAGTCAGGTGGCACATCTGGGAGACTGGGGTCCACAGTGAGAGGGTTTCAGAGTGGGCTAGGGGCCATAGGGCAGGAGCAGGGGACAGATAGGATAGAAGTCCTTCCAGAATGGGGAGAGCTGGTCAACCTACAGCCTGTTGGGTGTGAAAACAAGGACGACTCCAAAATGTTGAGTCTAGAAAGAGGGCACAGCACAGGAAGGTACAAGCAGCTATTGCAGACCAGAGGAGAGCTGGGGTGCCTGGGTGGGCAGGAGTGTGGCTTCTCATCCCAGCTTGGGCAGTAACACTGCCAGGCACCTGGTGGGCACTCACTAAGTATTTGTCAAATGAATGGGTGAATGAGTTGTATGATCTCGGGCAAGTTGTGTGATCTTGCTGTATGATCCCTGGGTCTCATTTTTTTGTGTGTAAAATGAAGGGACTGGACTAGAATGTGTAAAACAAAATAGAAGGAACTCTCCTGGAGTGGCTGGCATTCCTCTCCCCATCCCCAGAACCTTTATGAGTAACCCAAAACCATGGTTCTAACCCTGTCTGTAAGGTTAACTGAGGTCCCATATGAGACAATTGAATTCAGAATCTCTGTAGATGAGGCCAGGCATGGGTAGTTTCAAAGCTGCCCAGGTGACTCCGATGTGTGGCTGGTTGAGAAGCCTTGCCTGGGAGCCTCCAGGTGCCCAGTTTGAAAACCACTGGGCTAGGTGAGGGCTAGAATCCCTTCCAGGCCCAGGCCCTTGGACTGAGACTTGTGGTTGGTGACAGGCCTCTCTTTTCATGTCCCATCTCCCATCCCCCCAAACCAAAAACTCCTGAAAGCCAGAGGACCAAACACCGAGGCTTCTCAACCACACCTATTGACATTTTGGACAGGCTAGTTCTTTGCTGTAGAGGACTCTCCTGCGCATTTTAGGATGTTGAGCAGCATCCCTGGTTTCTACCCACTAGATGCCAGTAGCATATCCCCCTAGTCAAAGCAATAAAAAATGTTTCCAGGGGCCAGCCAGGTGGTGCAGCGGTTAAGATGCTGTGCTCCACTTCGGTCGCCCGGGGTTTGCCGGTTCGGATCCGGGGCACAGACTTAGCACTGCTTGGCAAGCCATACTGTGGCAGGCGTCCCACATATAAAGTAGAGGAAGATAAGCATGGCTGTTAGCTCAGGCTAATCTTCCTCAAAAAAATAAAAAAAGTCTCCAGATGTTGCCAAATGTCTCCTGGGGTGCAACCACCCCTGACACCAGTTGAGAACCACCATGCTACACTCAGTCTCCTGTCCTCCCTCTGCCCTTCCCAGCTGCAGACAGAGGCCAGGCATGGGTAGAGGCCATTTGACAGCAGGTTTAGTTGGGCCTGGCAGGAGGGAGGCCTCTGTGGGAAGCCAAGGTTTCACAATGGGGGGATAGCATGCCAGCAGACTGAGTGATGTGGTCTCACTCTAGAGGGAGGGAGTTTTCCAGAACACTCATTCCCGGATTCCCAACCAGTCACAGATGAGCCAAGAGTAGCTTCTGGGGCACACAGCCCCCCGTTTTCCGGGAACAGGTAGAAGGGGGTGTGGGAGTGGTGATGTGCATGAAGGGGATTCTTTCCTTCTGTAGATATTTTCCTGGCATCGGACTGCCCCGATCTGATTGGTTGAGGACTTGGAGGGGAGGAACTTTCCAGCTGTGGGTGCCTGGGTCCCTGGAGGCTATCTGACACTGGGATCATGGGGATAGCTGGGTTTCAGGGTCTGGAAGACTAAACCTCTGGGGCTGGAACTAAGGGGCTGACGGGTTCCCCTGCCCAAGGGAAGTGGAAGTTGTGGGTACATGTTCCTTAGAACTGGAGGCTGGGAGGCTGTCAGCGTCTTCACAAGTTACTTTTTGCTTTGAGGTGGCTGGACCTGAGGGAAGACAGGATGGGAGGTCTGGGAAGGGAGGGGAAGGAAAGGGGGAGGAAGGGAAGGGAGCTGGGAGGGAAGGAGGAAGGATGGGTGGTGGAAGGCACTGGGCTGGTCAGAGGCAGAGGAGATGAGGCTGTTTCCTGCCCTTATCCCCCAACTCACTCCACCATGAGGCTCAGAACACCCAGGAGCAGGACAGCTCCGAAGACACAGAGGAGCAGAATCCTGGCTTCCCAAAGATCATGTCTTCCTGCAGGGAACCCAGGAGGCAGTGGATGATCCTGGGGACCACACCCGTTGGCGCTGGGGGAGCCTAAGAGCTCAGAGGTCTGAGTAGGGTGAGGCGGGGTTGGGAGTAAGGACCTGGCAAACAGCGCTTTCGGGGCCAACAGTACACCTCCATGCTCTCGCAGGTGGAGCAGTTGTACAGGGTGGTGCTGCCCTCTGCAGGAGACAGCAGGAGCGGAGCTGGGGAGGGGAAGCACCAGCTCCACCCTTCCAGAGGACCCCACTTCCTCCCTGCTAACTGCCAAGCTCTTTTCAGGTACCCCGAGGCCCCTTGTCTTCACTACCCCTCTCCTTTTCTACTCACGGCAGGCAGGAGCACAGAGAGCTGAAATGAGACAAGGAGGGGTGGGGGTAGATGAGCCACTCAGCCACACAGCCCTCTGCCTGTGATCATAGGCACCCCTTATCCCTAACCACATCAGTACCTTCCCTGGTGTACTCCGGGAGCTTGGTCTTTTGAAGCCATTGCCAATATGAAGGGAGTGAGGAGAGAGAGCCTTTGATCTCTGGGGAGGCAGAGAGCTGCTATATTGCCCAGGGCCCCAACAGGGCCAAATCATCTGCACCCCTTCACCCAGCACCTCCCCGGTCACGCCCTTGTGTCTCTACCTGCCCTTCACCCCTTCCTGCCTCCCCGGCCCCTTCCTCCCATCTCCCTCCTTGGTGCCCATCCAAGCCCCTAGGTCGTGCCTTCCCCCTTGACCTCACCCATGACCTTCAGGACTCTGTGAGTCTTCTCTGTGACTTTGTTCATGGACACCTCATCTGTGGAGATGAGCAAGGACCAGCGATTCTCTCATCAGCCCAGAAGGAGATTCTGGGGTCTTTCCTGAATTTCCTGGGGGACCAAAGAAGCTCTCCCAGAGGGAAAGGCTAGTGTGTCCAGAGAGGGCTGTGGACTGAGGTGACAGCTCAGAGGCACAGCTGGGAAACCACATACTGCTCTTCTTGGGACACAGGAGTGACTGGGGCTGGACCAGTCCTTGGATGTCTGATCTTACCTAAGGCAAAGGCCGAGAAGTTCCAGGAAGCCTTACAGTCCCTCCACTGGGCCTCCATCTGGCTGCAGAGCCAAGCCAGGCGGCCTGACAAATCTCGGTCCGGGAGGCGGCAGAAGACACAGGCCTGGGCGGCTGCCAGGAAAACCCCACCTAGTGCCAGCATCCACATGAGGCCCACTGGGGGGTAGTGGAGGGGGGCGGGCCCCATCTAGGCTGGGAAGGCCTTGGAATGCTCTGTGATCCTGGTTCTAGCCCTTTGCCTGGAGCTTCTAGAGTGTTCCAGAACAGTGCCATTGCTCCATCCCCAGCTGGGGTAAACATGGGGCCCAGGGAAGTAGAGATTAGAAGAGGACATCTCTAGTAGGAGATGGGCAGAGAAAGCAGAGCTTCTGCTGCAAGGAGGATGGCACCCCCAACCTGGCCCTCAGCAGCCTTTACAAGTTTGTGGTTCCATAAGCACTTTTATTTTTCTTCTTGTAAATCACGACCAGTGATAAATCATGAGTGACTCCCCCAGTGAAGAAGTTACGTGTGAGTATCCCATCCCCTCAGGGACCCAGAAATCCCAGCTCTTCCCATAGCCTCCCCCAAACTCCCCAAACTATTCCGTTCATCTCCTCTCTGCCCTAAGCAGCCTTGGGCCTTCCTCAGCTATCTCCTAGCAACAGGCCCATGGTTGCCTTAGCAACCAAGAGTTCTATACAGGCCTCCCAATGCCCAGCTAAGGCCAGTGACTTCTTTTACCTTTCACCAGAAAGATCCTAATGACTCAAACCCCAACAGGCACCTCCTGCCTACGTGGTGATGTGAACGCACATTCATGCACAAACACACGCCCCTTGTGATTAAACTACTAATTCTCAATCTACTCACAGCCATACCACAGACACACCCGGTGCCAAACAGTTGCTGAGCAACCCCAAACAGGCCTGGACACGCAGAGACCACAGAAGGACCAGCACATAGATGCTGTCTCCAGCAACACAGATGGGAGCCCAGATGTCAGGGACCCACACATCACTCAGATACACTGGCTCGCTCACACACACACACACACGAAGGAAGTACGGTCAGGACCCAGGAAGGTGCCACCCTTTTTCCCATGGCCAGCCCCACCATCAATATGGGATCCTTTAAAACACCTGGCCCTCCAGAGGGATGCTCCAGCCCCATAGTTAACAGGGATTCTCCTAGCTCCCTTATGCCAACCTAGGGTGGGGTGTAGCCTTTCTGTCTCCCTCGGTAGGTGGCTTGGGACACAGCAAAGAATCTCTTCCCACATTCCAGAGTGTTCTGGCCTCTCATTGGTCAGTCCAGACCAGGCCACCCAGCTCCAGGAGAGGAAGCCACAGTCCAGGAGGCCACATTAGAGCAATCCAAAGTCCCTCTTTCTCCCAGACCTCAGTGTCCTTCCAGGGTTCTGCTACCTTCCCAGACCCCTGAATAATGAGCTCCAACCAAAAAAACACTGGCCGTCCCCAGCCTCGGACACAACAATCACAGAAGCCTTCCCGCCCTCCCAGGAAGAGCCACAGTCCAGGCTCTCTGGACCACTTATGAGCCTCTGGTGGACGTGGGCTTGGGAATTTCTGCCCACATCTGGGCTCCAGTCAGGTGCAGTGGGAGCCCTGACTCTCACAGCTGCCAAAGCAGAACTAGGAAGAGGCTTCAGGGGAGCCTTCATCCCTCGCTGCCCATCCCCTCCCCCCCAAGTCAAACTGAGGGCAGCGTTCTCAGTTCTCAGTGCCGGACAAAGCGCAGAGACCGGGAGTTGAGCAGGTCTTCAGGGTCAGGGAAGACGGAGTCTAGACGGAAGCCATGCTCCAGAGCCACTCGTAGCACCTCCTCCAGGAAGGCCGGCGTGCCCACCACCTCTCGTCGTTCTCCTGGCCCCCCAGTCCACAGTGGCTGCAGCCCCAGTCTCCTGTACTCCACTTCGGGGAGTTCCGCGGGGCGGGGGGCCCACTCCAGATGAAAGTGTGGGCCTCCCTCTGCCCTGTCCTCACTGGCCACACCAAATCGGGCTCGCATGGCACCCAAGCATTCAGGGTCAGTGCAGAAGATGTTGGCTCGGAAGGTGTCCACCTGGACAGAGCTCAGCTCATAGTGGTGTGGACCCCGGCGAGCAGAGAAGTGCACCTGGCGGGGGCTGGCATCTACATCTGCGTGGAGGAGGGCAGCTGTGGGTGCAGGGGTCCCCCGAGAGGCCTCCAGTTCCCGCAGGGCATCCAGGAGGGGCCGGATCTGGTAGAAGTCGGCCTCTGCCCTGAGAAGCGCTGTCTCCCCATACCCACGGGGCAGGTCCAGGCGGCCCAGCCGCAGGAAATTGAGGATGTGCCGGAAGGCCTTGCCATCTCGGTCGATGAAGTAGTGGCCGCCTTCCTGGGTATTGAGGTTGGGGGGTATGGGGGTGCCCGCCCTAAACATGGCCCCCAGCATGGAGTCTGGGAAACGAGTCAGGGTCTCCAAAGTGGTGGAATACAGCGTGCCCCCCACATTCAGGGTCACGGGGCCCCCAAAGGAGGGGGGCGAAGAAGGCACAGGAGGAGGGGAAATTTTGGGAGGTACTGGAGACACGGAAAGAGAAGAAAAGGCAGAACTTCCTGAGTACGTGCAGAATTGGGTCGTAAGGTTCAGATTCTCTGGGTTGGAGGCACAGGTTGTAGCACAAGGCAGCAAGATTTGGGGCTCACCCCAGCTACCTTGGTAGTGGGGGATGGTTTCCGGGCACAGAAACTCCCGGAAGGTTTTGAGAACCGATGAAAAGAGCAGAGGGAAGCCAGAAGGGAGGGAAGGGAAATTTCGGTCCAGACGCATCCGATTCTGGGTGGTCAGCGATTCCTTTCTGTGGTCTTCAGACAGTGGGCTTCCGGAATCCAACCAGCAGGTGACGGTGGCGAGCACAAGACCGACTCTTGGAAGGGTCCAGCTTCCGAGTTCCCGGGCAGATCGCTGTGGCCGGGGGCAAGTCCACACAGGGCTCCGGGGCGGGGGCCAGTCAGAGGCCTGGCCTGGCTCCGGCGCGGGTCCCAAGAGATGGAGGCGGGGCTGACTGGAGCTGACTGCGGAGGTGCCTCTGTATCGGCTGGGGAATGACGATGCACGCTCAGTCCGAGCTGGGAGTGTCTGAGGACTCTGCTGGAAGCAGCCAGGAGTCTCGGGACTCGGGCGTCGCCGCCTTCCCGGTGCCGTCGCAGCCGCTGAAGTCCTCTCCGCCCCCAGGAAGTGGCCTCAGGGCAGTGGCTGGGGTCCCTTTAAGAGAGAGCCCCACCCCCTTGGCGCCCCGCCCCCCGCCCCCGCGGGGCTCGCGCCGCTCGGGCGGAGGGGGGGAGCCGAGCGCGGCGAACCGGAGAGACGGGGCGGACGGGCTGGACTGGCGGACGCGGGCGGGGGTGGGGGCCGGAGGGTGACTCAGGCGCGTCGCTCCGGAAGCAGCCGCGGCAGCGCCGCCGGCCCCCAAGTGTGCCCCATCTCACGTCTGCAACTCGGCGAGGGCCCAGTCTCCACCCTCTCCCAGAGCGGAGTTTTCTCCGCTCAAAAACAGAGGCCCGGCCGTCCGGACTTGGGGACCAGTTCCCTCCCAGTCGCTCCCTTAGGAAATTCCCGAGGGGGTGGGTGCTGAGCCGCCGCATTCCGGGGATGCCTCGGGGCCGGGGTGGCCAAAGCCAGCCTCGCCATTCCGGCCCGACGCCAGCCCCCCGCAGGGAAGGCCGGCCCCCAGCCCACGCCAGCGGCCTCTCGGCGGCCGGCCGCGTCTGGCCACGTCGCCTGAGCCGGGAGCCCCGCCCCAGGGCCGTCCGGTGCTGGGGCTGAGGCCGAAGCTGCCACTTCACTCCCCGGGAGTCGCCAACTCTCAAGCGCTCTCGCACCCCGGGAGCCGCGGCGCCCACACCTTGCCGGCCCGAAGGTGGCGCCCAATAAATGAACTCTGAAGCGGGGAGCACAGCACGAAGGCTTTAATGGCGAAGGGGCCGACGGCGGGGAGGCAGGGGCGGGGGTGCGGGCCCGCGAATGCCTGGGATCACAGCGTGTGGAGGTCGTAACTACGCCGGCTCAGCTTCTCCGGGTCGTCCGACGCCATGAGGGAGAAGTCGCGGAAGATGTCGAGATACGTCTCGTCCCCTGAGGGGAGGGAGGAAGGGCTGGGAGGCCGGAAGGCCGGGCCCTGGTGCAGAAGAGCCTGGTGGGGACTGCGGGGCTGGCCTGCTAAGAGCGCGCGCTTCCAGCGTGGGTGGAGGGGACATCTGCGCTGTCAGGGCAGCGCCCTCGCCTATTCTTTGCTTCGTTCCGGGATCCTTGTCGGATGCGTCCAAAGACATATTTGTTGAATAAACAACGGGATTAATCGATAAAGCTGGGCACGAGGCGGGCAGGTCGTCAGGGGCCAGAAGCCCAGAATTACAATGTTGGGCCAGGGACGGGGTGGGGGGGGGGTACTTTACCTGCCTGGCCCTGGGCCACTTCGGCCTCTCTCATCTTTGCCAATCGTAGCCTGAAGGGGAAGGAATTAAGGAATGAATGACATTTTCCCCGCTCCCCCCATCCTAAGTTCCCAAACTTTGAGTGGGTTGTTTTATTCATCTGTTTCCCCAGGGTCTAGAGCTCAAAAGATGCTCTACAACAATGATGCCTCTCACTGAGCTGCACGAACTCACCATCCGCGGACCCTCCCCGCCCCCCTTCTTACTCCACGCCCCGAACAACACTGGGAGCATTCTTTCCCTCTCCCGGTCCAGAAGGTGGCCGCGCCCCTTCCGACGCTCCGCCTGGCACGCTCGGGCCTCAGCTCAGCCCGGCCTAAGTGGACAGAGCAAGCGCTAACCCCGCCCCTTCAGGCATTCTCACAGGGTGACGATGTCAGCGTTGGCTGCTTCCATGGCGATGGTCAGAGGGTCCCTGCCTTCAGAGTCCCGAGCTCCCAGATCGGCCCCCCGTTTCAGGAACAAGCAGGCCAGCCTGGAGAGGATAGCCAGGTTCAGCCAGCCTCTCACCCTGTGCGGAGCCTCCCTCCCCAAGGCCACCATCCCTGCCGCCCCTACCCGGTGTGGCCAAGAATGGTTGCATGGTGAAGCGGGCCCCGGCCGTGGTTGTCCGCTTGATTCACATTCGCCCCGTTCTGGAGGAGAAACTCACATGCCAGAAGAGAATTCTACATAGAGAGGTCGAGAATGGGGAGAGAGGGCGGCATCTTTAGTGGAAGATTTAAAGATGTTTTAGAGTGGGGTCAGTTCAGAGGGTGGGGCATGGACATCAGGAGTGTACGGGCACAGTTAAGTGTCAGGCTTTGCTCTAGCTCTTTACATGTATTCATACATTAAACTCCATAGCACAACC